ATGACCAAGGCAAAATCCATCCATCCATCCATCCATTTTCGTCCACTTATCCAGGGCCGGGTCACGGGGGCAGCAGCCTAAGCAGGGACTCCCAGACTTCCCTCACCCCAGACACGTCCTCCAGCTCCTCCGGGGGAACCCTGAGGCGTTCCCAGGCCAGCCGAGAGACATAGTCCCTCCAGCGTGTCCTGGGTCTTCCCCGGGGCCTCCTCCCGGTGGGACATGCCCGGAACACCTCCCGAGGGAGGCGCCCTGGAGGCATCCAGAACAGATGCCTGAGCCACCCCAGCTGGCTCCTCTCGATGTGGAGGAGCAGCGGCTCTAGTCCGAGCTCCTCCCGTGTGACTGAGCTCCTCACCCTATCTCTAAGGGAGCGCCCAGACACCCTGCGGAGGAAACCCATTTCAAGCGCTTGTATCCACGATCTCGTCCTTTCGGTCACTACCCAGAGCTCATGACCATAGGTGAGAGTAGGAACGAAGACTGACCGGTAAATTCACCACAACGGTCCGATACAGCGATCGCATCACTGCCGAAGCTGCACCAATCCGCCTGTCAATCTCACGTTCCGTCCTCCCCTCACTCGTGAACAAGACCCCGAGATACTTGAACTCCTCCACTTGAGGCAGGGACTCTCCACCCACCCGGAGAGGGCAAGCCACCTTTTTCCGGTCGAGAACCATGGCCTCAGACTTGGAAGAGCTGAACTTCATCCCAACCACTTCACACTTGGCTGCAAACCGCCCCAGTGCACATTGCAGGTCCTGTTTCGATGAAGCCAACAGGACAACATTGTCTGCAAACAGCAGAGATGAGATCCTGTGGTCCCCAGACCGGCCCCCCTCCGGCCCCTGACTGCACCTAGAAATTCTGTCCATAAACACAATGAACAGAACCGGTGACAAAGGGCAGCCCTGGTGGTGTCCAACATGCATCAGGAACAGGTCTGACTTACTGCCGGCAATGCGAACACAGCTCCTGCTCTGGTCATACAGGGACCAGACAGCTCTTAGCAAAGGGCCCCGGACCCCACACTCCCAGAGCACCCCCCACAGGATACCACGAGGGACACGGTCAAATGCCTTCTCCAGATCCACAAAGCACATGTGGACTGGTTGGGCAAACTCCCATGAACCCTCGAGCACCCTATGGAGAGTGTAGAGCTGGTCCAGTGTTCCCCGGCCAGGACGAAAACCACACTGCTCCTCCTGAATCTGAGGTTCGACTATCGGCCGGATTCTCCTCTCCAGTACCCTGGCATAGACCTTACCGGGAAGGCTGAGGAGTGTGATCCCCCTATAGTTGGAACACACCCTCCGGTCCCCCTTCTTATACAGAGGGACCACCACCCCGGTTTGCCAGTCCAGAGGTACTGTCCCCGACCGCCACGCGATGTTGAAGAGGCGTGTCAGCCAAGACAGCCCCACAACATCCAGAGACTTAAGGTGCTCAGGACGGATCTCATCCAACCCTGGAGCCTTGCCACCAAGGAGCTTTCCAACCACCTCAGTGACTTCAGCCAGGGTGATGGATGAGTCCACCTCCGAGTCCCCAGCCTCGGCCTCCTCCTCGGAAGACGTGACGCCGGGATTGAGGAGATCCTCAAAGTATTCCTTCCACCACCGGACAACATCTCCAGTCGAGGTCAGCAGCTCTCCCCCCGCACTGTAAACAGTGTTGGTGAAGAACTGCTTCCCCCTACTGAGGCGCCGGACGGTTTGCCAGAATCTCTTTGAGGCCGTCCGATAGTCCTCCTCCATGGCCTCCCCGAACTCCTCTCAGCTCCGAGTTTTTGCCTCCGCAACCGCACGGGCTGCAGCACGCTTGGCCCGCCGGTACCCGTCAGCTGCTTCAGGAGTCCCCCGAGCCAGCAAGGCCCGATAGGACTCCTTCTTCAGCTTGACGGCATCCCTTACTTCCGGTGTCCACCACCGGGTTCGGGGATTGCCGCCGCGACAGGCACCACAGACCTTACGCCCACAGCTCTGAGCAGCCGCATTGACAATAGAGGCAGAGAATGAAGCCCACTTGGACTCCATATCTCCAGCCTCCCCCGGAATCCGGGAGAAGTCCTCCCAGAGGTGCGAGTTGAAAGTCCCTCTGACAGAGGCTCCGCCAGACGTTCCCAACAGACCCTCACTACACCTCGGGCCTGCCAGGTCTTTCCGGCTTCCTCCTCCGCCAGCGAACCCAACTCACGACCAGGTGGTGATCAGTTGACAGCTCAGCCCCTCTCTTCACCCGAGTGTCCAAGACACGCGGCCGGAGGTCAGATGACACGACTACATAGTCGATCATCGTCCTCCGACCTAGGGTGTCCTGGTGCCACGTGCACTTATGGACACCCTTGTGCTCAAACATGGTGTTCGTTATGGGCAAACCGTGACTAGCACAGAAGTCCAATAACAGAACACCGCTCAGGTTCAGATCGGGGAGGCCGTTCCTCCCAATCACCCCACCACAGTGAGAGACCTGTCCCCGACCTGAAGGCGCAGGGACGCGACCCTCTCGTTCACTGGGGTGAACTCCAACACACAGCGGCTGAGCTGTGGGGCAATGAGCCCACACCAGCCCGCGGCCGCTCCCCGCGGCCAACGCCAGAGAAATGGAGAGTCCAGCCCCTCTCAAGGAGTTGGGTTCCAGAGCCCAAACTGTGCGTGGAGGTGAGGCTGACCAAGTCAAAATGATCTACCTAATACAAAGCCAAGCAAACTGCACTGAAACACTCTGTGCCCCTTTTTTGGACCCTCCCCCACAGTTTGAGAAGCCCTTCTTTAAGAGAACCTCCTCTGGCACTTTACACAAAACTGTGAAAAAAGTGAAGGAAGATTTTTAAACCTGTTTTTGAAAGTTCCAAACTGGACTTGCATTCTTTTCTGGTTTTGCAATGATATTTACCAGCCTCTGCACATTTACCAAACCAAGCGCACATCGTGACAAACACAAATGCATTTGAGCACTTTTGTTAGACAAACTTCAGTCAAATGTGGCAGTAGGTCTGTTCTGTAGATCCGCTCTATGCTGTAGACCTGCTTTGTGCCAACACTGGAACACAAATTTAGACTGGTTTTTGCTTCACTTTTGGTCTTGCTCTTCTAATCAGCCGCACTGTGGGAGGGGCTTGTGTTCGCTGTACGTAGTGAGAGCGTGAAAAGGCGAGGGGCGGCGTGCTGACGTGAGGCAGATGGACAGGTAGGATGTTTAGGAAGTTGAACCTGCCCTGTGATGCACGCTGGTACACGAGGGCACACGCTGTCGCAGACGAGCCGTGCATAGGGAGTGTGTGTGTTTGTGATGTGCCGTAGAGTCTCCGCGGGTTTCAAATGAGCGCACAGGCTGCACTGAGACGCCCCACACGCTCCTGCACCCGCTACAAGTTTATTACCAACAGCAGCGGCCGTAATGAAATATGATCACACTTGTTGAGTGTCACACCTTGAGTGAGAGACAAGACCGAGTCCAAACGCGAGTCCGAGACGAGACACGGCGATCTACCCACACGACCTTGACGATCGACTGGTAGATCGCGATCTACGTACTGAGCACCCCTGGTCTATGGTTTTAACGGATTGAAAAATGTGTCTCTTCATTTTGGATGGAATATTAATCGTGGATGACATAGGTAGAGGTATTAAGTTTTAGAATTTCCTGTATTTTTGTACTTTTCTTCTCAACGTTTTTCCTCAAACCACCACTTTTGATTTATGTTCTAATGTTTCTTCATCACAAACAGACCTGGAGTTGTGTTTGGTTTCATTCACACATGTTTAACACACACACAACCTGCATATTTAGGCTGAGTTCATCTCTCAAACAATAAACTCTATTCCACCTTGTGATGTCATGTGGTAATACAGAAAGTGCTCCACTCCATACACCTTCACTAGAATCATTTGGATGATTTCAACCCTGGAATTGCCAATCTCTACCGAACTAAAGATAAAAAGTATATGTTAACATGAAAATTACCACTTCATGACATCACATTTTGAGCTTTGGAGACAAATGAATTATAAAGAGTTACTCAAACATGTGACTGAAACAAAACACAACTCCAGGTCTGTTTTTGAAGAGGTGGCAGCATTCTAACATGACTTAAAGCTCACAAGAGTCCATTTTGCATAATATTGGACCTTTAACTGATGTAAACTATTATAAATATTCTTTGCAGGTACTATCCCACCAAAGCAAACCAGAATTAGAAAAACATGAAAACCTGTCACACACATTTTAAAAGGCCTGTACCTGAACCATGAGTGAAGAACATTTTCAGAATGAACAGTTATCTCCACACACTTATTTTTCTCTTCTCTTGGTCTGATGTTTTAGTCTGATTCATCAGCTGGTTTTACTTAGTGGAAACCGTCTGACCTCACAGCATTAGAATTAATTTGCCTGACAGTAGGTGAGTACTTTTTAAAATTTAACCAATCGCTGCTATTTGGTTGTGATGTATGTAATGGGGCTAACTGGTATATTAACCTTTTCCCAAATCCCCTTGATAAAATTCACCAAACATTCTCTTTGTTTCGACTTTAAATCCTCGAGCTCGGGAATCGTTGACAACACAGAATGTATGGCTCTTCACTGATTGGCTGGTGCCTGGACTGGAGAGAAATTAAATTGAGTGGAGGCACTAGGTGGTGCCAGCCTGGCTACTGATGTATGCCCATGACAGAGAAACAACAGTCTGGGATCGTCACCAGCAGTTGCTTCCATATTTTTCTCATTTGGCACCATCACTGACTGGATAAAATTGTCTGAGTACGTTTAAAAAATGTACAAGAGCATACTGTTTTGAGAGATTACCATTAAACAGTCATTTTGATTTGTTAATGTTGCAGTCCTGCTTGTGAAGCCTCATATTTTCAGATTCAAATCATAGTATTCTACTGGTTTGTTATGTTTTCTTTTCCCATAAAAGTACACTTGAGTTCTCTGAATGTGCTGAAATGAGAATACTGTTTATTGATAATGACCACAGTCCTCCCTCCTCTTACCTTGATGACCATCTCGAAGGTGAAGACTCCAGTGAAGACATAGTCCAGATACTTGAGCACCTGCACAAACCAACAGCAACATGTTTTCATATCTGACATTTAGGGAATTCAAGGTAAAACACATACAGTACAATAGAAATGTACGAAGAGAGTATGATGTCAGCCACATCTAATCTGCAACCAGGGACTGTATTTGGAAATACAAGCACATAAACAAACGGCCTATCCAGAGCAAGGCTGTTGAAGGTACACTCCCCCTCCTGCTCGCACCACTGGTTTAGAAGAGAAGCGAGTTTAGTAGTGGCGCAGTCCATCAAATCTCTCTGGAGCGAACGCAGGGAAAATATGCTCTGGATTTGTCTGTTATTAATGTTCATATCTTAATTAAGAGAAAGAATAGAAATAAAGAATAGAAATAAAAACCCAACAGATAATGCAGAGTGGGTTAATATGAACATTTTAAGTCTAAAATGATGAGGTTCACAGCAGCAGTTTCAGAAAGAGGGGGGTGATGATTTTTCAGTTACAATCAGAACTCCAAGGAACCACATTGCAACCATGCTCACTTCACTTTGTAACACAGCTAGCGTGTTAGCTATGTTCTTTAACTTCCTGGGTTCTTTTTAAAGACAATACAGTAAAGTGTATTTACCTTGTTGACATGTTTCTGCTGCTGCATCTTCAGAACTGTCCCAGGTGTTGGTGACATGTCATTTATCAGCTGTTGTTACTTCCTGTAGGTGTGGCTGGCAGGTCACTCAGACTGACCATGCCTCCCATCAGCCGGTGTTCTCTGGAGAAGGGTGTCCCAGGTGTGTGAAAGGAGGAACGCTCCGTCATCAAGTAAGTCTTTATTTATATAGCGCTTTCACAGACATTTTCTGTCCCCAAAGATGCTTTACACAGCATTATTCAGCATTATTCATTCACTCTATACCGTGGTGATGGTAAGCTACTATTGTAGCCACAGTTACCCTGGGGCACACTGACAGAAGCGTGGCTGCCATGCCATTCGGCGCCATCGGTCCCTCCGACCACCACCATCACTCACTCACACACCACTTTCATACGAGGCAATGGCAAAATGTCTTGCCTAAGGACACAATGACTGAATTGATTGTATTTAACTGACCATGACTATCAACTGTTCTTGGAGATAATGGTTAATATTGTCTATGCCTCATTTCCTGATTTCAATGGCCTAGTTCCTCACCTGATGTTCAGATCACCTGATGACCTAGTTCAAATTGAATTATCCTTCATTAAACTATAGCTGGATCAATATATTTTGGAATGGTAAGGTATGCTTTAAGACATTAACCAAGACAAGTGCCATAGGAGAGATGCTGGTCACAAGTTCAAACGCTGTATTAGGGAGGACAGTGAAATCAGGAAACCATTAACCGAGATGACGGAGTGTTCCTCCTTTCACACACCTGGGACACGCTTCTCCAGAGAACACCGGGCGACGAGAGGCGTGGTCAGTCTGAGCGACCTGCCAGAACCATCAGGCTGACCACGCCTACAGGAAGTAACAACAGCTGATATATGACACATCACCAACAACACCGGTGACAGTTTTGAAGATGCAGCAGCAGCAGAAACATGTCAACATGGTAAATACACTTTACTATATTGTCTTTAAAAAAAGAACATAAGAAGACAAAATGATCTCTGTTTTTTGGTTAGCTATGTTCATTTTTATGTACACTCTGTGGTAATACATGACTGTACTGAGTGCTGTAGCATTACACCAGGCTAAATCCATGTAAATGTTGTGAGGATTAGCCTTGTTTTTTTAGTCCAGATACTTGAGCACCTACATAAACCAAGAAGAGCATGATTTCATATCTGACATTTAGAATAGAAGAGCAGGGCTGTGGGGGAAAAGTTTCAAACATAAAATCCACAATTCTGATATTTTGTTAAGTCAACAGATGCGTCAAATCTATGTGCGTGATTGAAGAATACCAGAGTTTTCTGCAACTAATTTGTGCTGACAGAGAAGACATGAAACTTGGTGATTAGATTGCTTATGTAAACAGTAAATGCTCCATCACACACATATTCACACACCAGTGTACACACTCAGTCTTGGACTATTAGGGGAAGACAAAATAGTCCCTACCAATATTTGCCATTTTATTTAAATAAACAAAAACATACATTTATTTTTCCAAACTCAGTAGTATTAATTTAATGCATTTTAGTTCATGTTTTGTTTATTAGACGTTCTGAGATGTATTCAGTGATATGACGACAGGGTTACACCTGCCACTGTTTCATTGGCTGCAGCAGAGTGATGTCATTAGTGGAGCCAGGAGCCTAAACTGGGGAAGATGGCGGCTTGAGAAGGCGTGAGTGAAGATGCCAAAACTTTGGGGGTGGGGGTTAGCTGATAATGTCCCCACCAAAGCTGAGACCAAACCTATGTCCTTGGATCAGTCTAAACTAGAGATGCGCGGATGGGCTATTTTTTCATCCGCAACTGCGACACAAAACTCATCATCCGCCCGCTGTCCATTTTGCACCGAAGGTTTTCAAAACCGCACCCGCCCGCCATCCGCCCATTGATTTTAGATTTTAGAACAATCATACAGCAAACAAACTAAGGAGCCTCGATAAAAATGCAAACTCTATAGCTCATTCATTCCAAAATTCGCTCAGCGTGTATGTTCGCATTCTAAATTGTCCGTAACAACCCCAGACTTGCCTGGTTTTCTTGTGCAGCTAATTAACTGACAACGTTTTCCAACTAGGCTATTTTTGAACCTTCTTGCCTTCGTGTTGGATGTTGTTACATTCTGAACATTCTGCCATTGCCCGATGTTGTTTCAAAGTCATAGCCTCACTCCATTGGTCTTTCTTTAAGTTTTAAATACCCCGAGTGGCAGTCTGCGCTATAATGTCTGCGTGTTTTAAAATATCTGATATCGAAACAAAACCAAAAAAAGCATAACTAAATAAATATGGCCCTATAGCCACTTACGTGTTGGCAAACAGAAATAATAAAATAAACTGCATATAATATGTGCCTCATAAACCTTAGGCATCAATAACCCGACACAACCTGAACCTTCAGAACATAAAAACGAGGTCAAATGGGCTAATTAAGGATATGACGTACACTTCATACTACAAGCATAGACAATGACACTCGTCTTTTCAGATGAAGGTAACAATACTAACAATAACTTTTTTTTTTTTTAGTAGTTAAACCGCCACCCACCCGAATTTAATTAAAATATAATTTTTCGTCACGTCATCCGCCCGACCCGCGGATTAACCTTGGATACCGCGGTTGTAACCGCAATCCGCGCATCTCTAGTCTAAACACAAAACGACACTGTCCAGAGTCAGATTAGAACCATCGGATGAGGGAATGAATAGGCCTGTCACAATAATTACTACATTGATCTATCATTCATTAAACAATAGCTGGATCAGTATATTTGGAATGTTATGGTATGCTTCAAAGGCCGCCACACACCCACACCACAGACACGGAAAACAGTTTAAACAAACCAGAGACAAACTACTTGCTAGTACACAGTCCACGAAAAGACTATTTTCACGTTTGCCATCGTTGCCACAGGTCTATGCGTGTGACCTGCAGACGTTTTAGCTCTGAAAAGTTTCACATGAACCATCTCCAAACGTGATAGAAACACAGAACAGACTCACCATCAGCAGAACACCCCTCTGTCACAGAAAGAACACTCATATTTCATTGAGTCGTGTCCTTTTTACTCCGACAGAAGCTGAACCGCGTCAGAGCGCAAGGAGCGAGCTGTTTTTTTGAGCGCTTAGTTTGTGCACTTTAGGCATGTTGTTTTAAGTTTTGTTTCTGTAAAATGTAAACAAATATTCTCAACGCTGTATGGATAGGGAAGACTTGCATACACAGAAACGACGTGTTTGGACATAAATAGTTTCCGATATGGTGATACGGTGATTCGTTTCAGTGTAAACGTAACCTAGAGCTGTGCAAAATATTGAAATATCTATATATCTTATGGTTAAATGTGATGATACAGTGTGGATATCATGGGCTGCTGCGTCGATATATCGCTAAGAGTATTTTTTGGTATATTTTACTAGATTATTTTGTTACAGTGCTACATTTTCATTGTTTTGATGATTAAAATGTTTGTGTTTCAAATTCACTTTGCACAAGAAGTGGTTGAACAAAGACTTTTAGTATCACAGCCATGATTTAGCCTTTATTTTTATTGAACCATATCGAATTGATTTGAAATATATAGTATTGAATCATATCGAATCATAAGCTCACTATATCAAGATATGTATCGTACTGTGGCTTATGTATTGAGGTATGTATTGTATCGTGGCTTAAGCATCGAAGTCTGAATCGTATCGTGGCTTACGTATTGAGGTATGATTTGTACCATGGCTTACGCATCGAGGTATGTATCATATCCTGGTTTACGTATTCAGATATGTATCGTATCGTGCCTTACGTATCGAGGTACATATCATATCGTGGCTTACGTGTTCAGATATGTATTGTATCGTGGCTTACGTATCAAGGTATGTATCCTATCGTGGCTTACATATCGAGGTATCTATTGTACCGTGGCTTACATATTGAGATATGTATCATATTGTGGCTTATATATCGAGATATGTATCGTATTGGTAACTTCTGAATGATCCCCAGCCGTAATGAACACTTTACCAACTGAGCTACTACCAGTTTGTAGATACAGAGATATTAACCACAACCAGGATGCAAAAATGACTAGATTCAACAACTGCAGCTGTTTACTTCTCTACTACTTTAATTTAGGAACTGTCCTCCTTAACATGTTATGTCACCACAAGAATACAACCCTTGATGTGCCCAGTGTATTCAGATCCTACAGGCGTGTACATCCTCACATACAAAACACAGACGTGGACTACATGTTCCTCTGGCCTCACTGTGTCAGCTTCACTGCACACCCACCCACGTGCACACTCCCCCATCACGTGCGCGCCCCCAGTCCCCTCGCTGCCCTGACTGCAATTTTAATTAGTTGTGCTTGTCTGTCAAAATACGGCGACTCAAGTCCACGTCCCTCCTCTCATGAGCTGGAGTTTAAACTGAGGCTGCGGCGGTTCGATTCAAAAGCATGAAGATGATGTCACTACTGCACATGTGTTTTTAGAAGCATGAAAAAAACACAAAAATGTATTCTTCCCCCAGGCGTATGTCAGCATGCATCAGCAGACACGTGTCGATCCAGCCTAAAATGTGCATGTTCTGTTCATGTCTTAAAATGATAAATAAAAGCACAGATAGGGAGGAAGTGTAGTGGGTCAAATCTGAATGTTTGTATAGCAATCTTAAAGCTAAAACTACGGCAAAAAACACACCAAATTAAAATCAAAACAGTATGCCTACTTATTGATGCATTAGACTGTAACTGCTAAAAAGTGTTTGGTGTAATTGAGGCATTATTATCACTTCATGGTCCTATCTGTTAATAGCTTGGTTAAACCAGATGCCTGTTAGGACTAAACAGGTTTAAAATAAAATGTTTTCATTAAAAAAGCATCTGAATTTAAAGCAATTTGATGTGATGTGTTAAGGGAGAACGTTTGATATTTAATAACTGCATTATCCAATGAAGTAAGTCCATCATGATAAATGAAATAAAAAGGTTCTTTATGATAATATTTGACAATGACTATCATTGTGATGGAAAGGATTTACATCAACAACCAAACCATGCCAAATTCAAAAAGTTCAAATTAGAACTTTTATCACTGAAAACTTTGTAGCTATAATGCTAATAAAAATGTTATCAAACTGTTTGTACTTTCACTTACCACCAAAACAATGAAAACAAAAAAACTTGAAACATGTTTTTATAATGAACACAATTTGACAGCAGAAATGCTCAGACTTTGATGTATAAACATATAAAAGCTGCACACAAGACCTGTGGACTTTTACCTGTGACATCTTAAAACTGGGAATTTTAAAATGATGTGTTTTTATGAAAGGATTCATCAAACTAGCATGAATAAAGCAACTCCAAGTATGTTTTTTTTTTTTTTTTTTTTTGACGAAGAAACAGGAACAGGAGTTTTAGCCAGGGAGACGAAGCCAGGAACCTGACTAAAAGTCACTTTTGTATAATCTGTGTTATTGAAATTCCTGGTGTCTCTGTAACCATAGCGACAGCTGCGTGTCACTCACATTGTTGCGTGGTGCGTTGGCCTGCACTGGGTCCTCTGCTGCCAGGGCGATGCTGCTCATGGTGATGACCAGCAGAATGCACATCTCAAAGTAACGCAGATTGACCACATAGTGACACAGCCTCCGCACGCTGCAGGAACACAAGGACACAAGGGGACAAGGTCAGGTCAGTGTGCAGAGGCACAGGGAGAATGACCTATATACTATATACTATATACTATATACTATATACTGTATACTATATACTATATACTGTATACTATATACTGTATACTATATACTGTATACTATATACTATATACTGTATACTATATACTGTATACTATATACTATATACTGTATACTATATACTGTATACTATATACTATATACTGTATACTATATACTATATACTGTATACTATATACTGTATACTGTATACTATATACTATACACTATATACTCAACCCTTTGAAACCAAATTTAAATATATATGTTCCACAGTATGGCATTGAACTAATTCATCTCCATGGAAACAAGCAAGTGACTCCACCAGGACAGATCAAGAATGTCTGCTTTCCAAAGTATTTTTGAGCTATAAAAATGCAAGAGACATTGAACAAATCTAAAATGGACAAGTTTCCATACTGTGGAACATTTCAAGCAAACATAACACCCAAATGTGAGCCCAGTGGGTCATTCTGTGTGACAATCCCCAGTCAAACAAAAGTCACTGGACTTATATGGAAAGACAAGGCTCTGCAATCAACCTGCGTCACTGTTACAATCCAATAGTAGATCACACGTGACAGGTTATGCACTTCTGCCCTACAGGAGATAGAAGGTTATGAACTCATGTGAACCAAACCTATTCACTGCAGAGCATTTACTGACACTCTGACTTATGACTGTGACCACAACCTCTGTACAGTCTGTTCAAATCAGTGGAGTCCCCCAGATGAGCTGCACCTGTGTCACAGAGCTCCCAGACTGTTCAGGTTTAGCACAGAAATCGTTTAATACTCTGTGAAACCATCGACTTCAACTGACCCCTGCCATCCAAGAAGCACTGACAGACCAAAAAAACATATGCATGTGAACACTAGCACTGTGCTAAGAAGTCAAGAAAAGTCATGAATTGGAGTTTATGAAATATGCCTTGAGTTCTAAAGGTTTTTAAAATTGATTTAGAAAGCCAATGCAATTTACAATATGCCCCTTCCCTTTAAAATTCTCCCCTTCTCCCCCCTCTGAGCAGTAGTAGTATTGTGCTGTGCTGTGGGGTACGTACGGGTTGGTGGTCCCGAACACAAACATGGAGCTGTAGGGCAGGATCTCGCGTGGCCCGTTGGCTGGGTCCTCCTCCTCCAGCTCCTTCTTCTCATCGCTCAGCTGGAACGTGCCACAGTCCATGTTGTTCACTGCAGTCACACAAAACAGTCACAAGGCAGTAGAAGCAATCAGAGGAGTAGTGTACGTCAGAAGTGCACCGACAGGAGGGAGCCCGGAGATGTGAGCTCTGTCACTGACAAACACAATAGCGTGGATAATCGGATTAATTATTTTTGATTTTAATGAAATGATTCTATGTGTCTCTCTCATGCTGCCACTGTCAGTCACAGCCGAATAATTCTCCCATTCATTTAAAAGCGCATGGTTGTGTCCTTAGGCTTCATCCATCTTTCCTAGTGTGAATGGGGTGTGTGTGTGTGAGTCATCAGTGGGGGTTGGAGGGGGTTTGGGTGAAAGGAGCTACATAAAACTAGTGTATTGTTATCATTATTTATCTAATCTGATTATTTTAGATTTCATCATATGTCATTCACCAAAAATCATTCTTGCATAGTGATTTTGGTACAGATTCGCTACTCGCTAGTGTGATGTGCAGCTACCCATAGGAGGTGCCAACAACTGTGCGGGTCAGTCAAAAAAAAAAAGTATAATCACAACTGAACCTGAGTGGCCAGAACCTTCACCTGCAGATAGAGACACACACACACACAGGGACGAGTTTGTCTCATTCTTGGTATATGGACTCCATACAGAGCACCAGAAGAGGCTATACCGTATTTTTCGGACTATAAGTTGTACTTTTTTCATGATTCGGGTGTTTCCTGCGACTTATACTCTGGTGCAACTTATATATTACATTTTTCAGACTGACAGCCACGAGAGGGCGCTCTGGGCTTGTGTGTCAGTTTTCCCGTGCAGAAAAAGCCGCTGTGCTGCTGCAAGTAGTGAAATATTCAGCTGAAAACGGTAATTGAGCAGCAGAAAGAAAGTTTGGAGTGAGCGAGAAACTTGTGAGGGACTGGAGAAAAGCGAGAACGGAGAACACAGCTTCATGGTAACCTTGAGGGTACGCAGAGTTGCTCAGAAGTGACACCGAGGATGAAGAATTCAGTGGATTCAATGGATTTAGTGATTTGGAGTGAAATGGATAGTTTACTAAGCTTATGTTCTGTTGTTTATGCTATAGTTATCTAAACAACTATTAACATTCATTACCTTAACATACCAGACGCCTATTCAGTCTGTTGTTCTCTGTTCTATTGTTATTACTAGAACTTGCCTTTCAAGATAAAATGTCAGTTTCTGGTCCCTGATTTTATAAAATAAATTTCCCCCCAAAAAGTGCGACTTATAGTTCGGTGCATCTTATACATTTTTTTATCTTCTTCATTACGCATTTTTTGGCTGGTGTGACTTGTACTCCAGAGTGGCTTAGTCCGAAAAATATGGTACTCTGATTCCTGATAGGCTGTAGATGCTGGGGTTTAGGGAGTGAGGATTCAGAGTGGAGAGCTTGTTGAAAATAAAATCCTGCCTAGTCCATTAAAAAAACAATCACTGACTGCAGTCCCGGTGTATTTGAATCTCTTCTCGTTTAAATGTTAGTTAAAACCTGTGGGCACACTGACTAGGTACGATGGTTGTCTCCCCGGGTGGTGCAGTGATGGTGACTGGAATGTGGATGGCGTTCCCGGCCCTGGTGGAGTTCTTCCGGTTGTCCTCGTCCTCCTGCTTGTCTCCGAGGCTGGGGCTGCTGTGTGGGGCCTTCCCTGGGCTGGAGGCTGGGTCCTGGTCCACGTCGGCCTCTGAGTCCCTGTGTGCCGGAGAAACACATCAGTGCATCGTTACACCATCATTACACCGTGCCTACAGGCCAAATGTGACGACGCAAGTTTCCCAGAGCAGAGAAGAGCTGTGAGGAGTCACCCACACACGACCTGCCCTGTGCTCTGAGCTGATTAGTAATAATCACTGCAAGAAATGCTTGAAGGTTCTATGTTACACAAAATTGACTTGTGAGCTTTAAGTCATGTTATAATGTTGTGGAGCTGTGTTTTGTTTCATTCACACGTTTTATTATTTCTTATTATTAGTCTGTCTACGTCTCCAATGATCACAAAATGCTCTGTTCCACCTTGTGAAGTGGTAGCTTTCAAGTTAACTAACTAATCAGTTATCATAGTGTCCTCCTCCCCTGAGTGTCCTTTTCACCTGAGTGTCCTTTTCACCTGAGTGTCCTTTTCACCTGAGTGTCCTTTTCACCTGAGTGTCCTTTTCACCTGAGTGTCCTTTTCACCTGAGTGTCCTTTTCACCTGAGTGTCCTTCTCACCTGAGTGTCCTTTTCACCTGAGTGTCCTTCTCACCGGAGTGTCCTCCTCCCCCTCCATAGTGTCCTCCTCAACTGAGTGTCCTCCTTACTTAAGTGTCCTCCTCACCTGAGTGTACTCCTCAAATCAATGTCCTCCTCACCTGAGTGTCCTCCTTAACCTCCATAGTGTCCTCCTCACCTGAGTATCCTTCTCACCTGAGTGTCCTCCTCTCCTTCCATAGTGTCCTCCTCACCTGAGTGTGCTGCCCTCTCTCTTGTCCCCCTCTATAGTGGACTGTGCTCTCATGAGCCTGGAGCTCCGGGCCCTGCGGTCCCCGTTGCCGTTCCCTTCTCTGGAGTTGTTAGCTAGTGTCCCATTCCCCTCCTTTGTGGACCTGTGAGCAGACCGTGTTTAACATTAGCGCCAGTCCAGCGGCCAAATGCAGTTGGACGTTAAATTTATCTATTAACAGTCACTACTACTTCCACACGAGAGAACACTGAGCAGACAGAAACATACAGTAATACTTTTCTCTCCAGGCTGACTTGAGCTTGAGATAAACAGTCGTATTTCCAGTGGTGCAAATAATATGTTTAGTGAAACGTTATCAGCGTCTGTTTTCCTGTTCACACTGTCAAGATCCAAAAAATGTCCAGGTAATGCATCGAAGGTTAGCCAAACCCATTTACATGAACTGGCGTTAAAACTATGGCTCTATGGATATTATCAAGTTCTTGGAGACATATCAGCTATCGGCCTAAATCTTGCCGGTATGGTCCAATAGTCCACGTGGGCATGTGATACCTCGATATAAAGCTCAAACTCCCTATATTATGTCCATTTAATTCAATTTACAGACAGATAAATGTTCTAATATGTACGGAGCAAGAAAGCTTTCAGAAATATTCGTGCGCATAGAATAGAAATCCATGCGTATTTGGGAAGTCCTTGCATATTTGGCTGTAGTTGCACATAAAATAAATATTCGTATACTCTCGAATCCAAGTCCAATCGTACATAAATATATTGTGTGTATTTTATCCATTAGAATATGAAATGAAAAGTTACGATGCCAAGAATTACAATCACGAAAATTTCCGATTACGCTTTCATCAGTACGAATAAGAATTTACAGATGGGACTTTACTGTCAAAAATATGTCTTGAGTCTGGATTAAAAGGACACTTATTACAGCAGACTTGTGATCTGAGAGGAGCCTGTGTGAGCAGTAAGTGTTACAAATGTGTCAGTTTTGACGCTACTTTTGATTCTGTCTCATTAGTCAGTGCTTAGGTGCTGTTAAATAGCACACATAAACAGTCTGTTTTCTTGCCTTGGCCGACTGTAAAGTGACTATAGTGTCTGTACATGTTACTGGACCTGCATTGATATGTAAATGAACTATGAATAGAGGTGTGAATGATCCACATTTACACATATAATTAATTACCGCTGCGTGCATGCATTTACCGCTGTCATTAGGACGGCCCACTGTATTTAAATATGACTGTAAAGAGACAGAGTAAGAGTAAATGTAGCCTAAATAAACCCAGTTTAAGAGTTTTAGAGACTGTTGACTGTTTTAGAGATCGTTACCAGTCTGAGTTCATCTACTTGCTGCCTGGACATGTTACCCACTAGATTTCTAAAGTCTGTCCTCAACAGTTTACTTTCACCACTCACTCACATAGTTAACATGTCACTTCAATCTGGAACATTCCCAAACGCATTGAAAACTGCGGTCATTAAGCCTCTCCTAAAGAAGTGCAATCTTGATGCCACAGTACTGAACAATTTCCGACCCATCTCAAATCTGCTGTTTTTTGGCAAAGTCCTTGAAAAAGCTGTTTACCAACAGCTTACGAACTTTCTCCAAATGAACAACTCCTTTGATGTTTTCCAGTCAGGTTTTAGAGCCTCCACAGCACTGAGACTGCTCTTATCAAGGTGACAAATGACATCCGCCTGAACACTGATGCAGGCAAAGTCTCAGTCTTGATCCTGTTAGATCTGAGTGCTGCTTTTGACACTGTCCATTATGTCGATCCCTTACAGAGACTAGAGGACTGGGTGGGCATCTCTGGTACTGTACTAAACTGGTTCAAGTCCTATCTAGAAGACAGGAAGTATTTTGTTGAAATTGGAAACTGTGTCTCAGATCACATGGCCCTGACCTGTGGGGGCCTCAGGGGTCAATCCTGGGCCCCCTGTTGTTCAGTCTCTACATGCTGCCATTAGGCCAGTTAATAAGCAGCAATAACGTGTCCTACCACAATTATGCAGACGACACTCAGATCTACGTCTCTCTGGCAGCAGGAGACTCTAGACCAATGGACTCACTTGGTCACTGCATCCAACAGATCAGTGTGTGGATGCAAAACAACTTTCTCCAGCTAAACTCTGACAAGACTGAAGTCATAGTGTTTGGTCCACAGAAACAAAGGGACAGTGTCAGCATCACCTCCAGTCTCTCTCTCTAAAACCTTCAAATCAGGCAAGAAATCTCGGGGTAATAATGGACTCAGACTTGAACTTTAACAGCCACATCAAATCAATAACATCTGCAGCCTTTTACCATCTAAAAAATTTAGCAAAAATCAAAGGTTTACTGTCTAAAGTAGACTTGGAGAAACTTATCCATGCGTTTGTCTCCAGTAGGTTAGATACTGTAATGTTCTGCTCACTGGTCTCTCCAAACGAGCTGTGAGACGCTGCAGAACATCCAGAATGCTGCAGCTGGGGTCCTTACTCGAACTAGGAAGTACGAGCACATAAGTCCTGTGCTCAGGTCTCTGCACTGGCTCCTGTGGCTCAGGGAACAGACTTTAAAGCAGCTCTGCTTGTACAAGTGTCTCCATGGCCGAGCACCAAAGTCCATCTGTGACATGTTAGTGTCATATGAACCATCTCGCACTCTGAGGAGCTCAGGGACCGACCTCCTGCTGGTGCCCAGAGTCACGACTAAACAAGGGGAGTCAGAGTTTCAGGTTCATGCAGCTAAAACCTGGAACAGTCTGAACATGTGAGACAGACTCTTCTGTGACGCTGTTTAAATCCAGGCTCAAAACATTTCTGTTTAACTGTGCAAATAACTGAAAAGTTTTCATTCCGCACTCTTCCTTCCAATTTATGTCTCTCTTTTTAAATTTTAATCTTCATTATTATTTATGTTTTGATTTGTTTTTATTATGATTTTAATGCATTTCTTATTCTGTAAAGCACTTTGAATTACTTTGTGTACGAATTGTGCTGTACAAATAAACTTGCCTTGCCTTTAAATTCAGTAGAGCCACACCTAAGTTTTATGATCAATTGAAGATTTTGCGTGAATTTTTACACCACTAAATGTATTGGCTTTTATATCGGCTATCAGCATCTCCAACTCCCATTTTACCTGTATCATATTGGCAGCAAAATATCCATATCAGTCGAGCCCTAGTTAAATCAGTAAAGGCATTCTAGTCACGTCTCACAGCACCACAAACTTGGAATTACTAAACGGATAGCAGATATTGGCCTTGATTAAAGAGTATAATTCAAGCACGATTTAGATTGTATGTAGTAAAGTAAAATGAATGTTTGTGTAACTCCGTTCCTTAGACTTACCTGTGCGAGTGGTGCGTCCTCCTGTGTCCCCCTGTCTCATCTGTCCCTTCCTCTGGAGAGCCGCTGTGACGGTGGTGATGCCTGTGTTTGGTCCTGTCCCCGTTTCTATGATGATGGTGCTTCCTGTGGTAGCTGTCCCCCGTCAAAATGTCCCCCAGCTCGTCCCGTCCCACCTCCGAGCTCCTCCTGGACCCGCCCCTCCCGTCCACCACCAGGGGGCGGTCCAGGTGCGTCTTCATGTCGGGGTGCAGGTGTATGGAGGACAGGCGTCTGCGCTCCTCCGTGTCCATCTCGTTGAACAGGGCTTCGCTGCTGGCCCTCATGTTGTGTCTCCTCAGCTGGTTGGTCCTCTGCTCCCAGATGGACATGGACTTAACCGTCCTCTGGGACTCCTTACTGCACAGCCACATCACAAACACAGCGTCAGCAACAGCAATGATTTGATCTCTGAAACTACTCTTAGATTTTGTTCATTATTGGTCTATTTATCAAAACTGCAGACAGATTGATTGGATGTCTCATTAAATGAATTGTGGCCAAATATATTCATGGTTTGGGAGTAGCCTCAGTACACTGTTAGCCAGGACATTTTACAAAAAGTCCATAGAAAAATTTGTGGAAAATTGGCTGTATTCACGCTTACGTCACAAACCAGGAAGACGTTTGGAAACTTGTGATGACAACTTCCGGCAGTTCATGAAAATAAGTCGGACAAAATCTAGGAAAAAGAGAAAACGGTCCAGTTTTCTTTGTCTACATGTCATTGACCATGTGTACATGATGTTTTTAAATTCTGAATTAACTGTTCTGAATAAAAATATTCTCCTCCGAGTTTACATAGAAATAATAATTCAGAATTGAGGTTTACGTGGAAAAATCGCCTTTATTTAATTCCGTTCAGCCTCTGGAGGTGGGTAAGGTTCTGATTGGACAGAGATCATATTTACATCGACCGGAAGAAAACACACACTTCAGCTGCTACCGGCTTTTCTGTCATCTCGGTTTGTCGTTACGCCACAAACACAAACATGATCCAAACTTTTCCACAGTGGTTCCAATGATAATTCAGTTGGAGAATTCTCTCATCATGCTTTACATTTGTCAGCTGAGGAGGAGAAGGGAAGAGTGTCGGAGAAGGAGGAAGAAGACAAAGTGAGTGTGAGGCTGCTCTACCTCAGCCCACTCCCACATCCCACTCACAAATCCAAAGAGACGTGGTTGAAAGTCCAAAAACCAGGACTGGTGGAGCCAGATCATCTGGATCACGTCAGAAGCTCAACACAACGAGCATGAACTGAACCACCGACATTATTTTTAACAAGAATAAACATGTTGATCAAGGAATAAATTGAGTCGGCTTTAAAATCAGAATAAACCACTTACATCTGACATGAAATAAAATCATAGCAAAGTAAATCGACGTGTCTTGGATCTCCTTTTTTCATCCAATAAACCACCCGCGTAATTTGGAATTAAGTTTAATTCTGAATAGTCATTTTCATATGGAATTAAGTGTTCACATGGTCTAAAAGCGAACTTAATTTTTATTCAGAATTACATATTTTTTATTTGGAATTAAAACTCTCATGTAAACGTGGCAATTGTAGTGTTCTGTTATGTTCGGCTAATCAACAATTCCAACCATCCCTCAGTTTTCATCGTTTCCACTGACGCACAACTCCGAGTGCACTGGTACATGTGATTAGAAGAGATGAGGCACCAAACTCCAGATGATTCCAAAGAGCACATACGTCTGCAGTCTTCATTTTACCACTGATCACATTTACTTCAGTGGGTTTGATCACAGTCAGTCGGTGAGTCCAATGTCGGGAACTACACCGGATATGGTGACCAAACGTCCCCGTTTTTTCACCTCCTGTCCTGGGCGTCCGTTTTTTGTTTTTTTTTTAAGTGATGAAAATGTTCAGGTTTTCATTACCGTTCACTGGGGACATTAAATTGAGCGTCTCTTGTAGTTCTCTGCACTCAGAAGGAGCGAGCAGACACAAACAGTCGGTCAGTCTGCAACGTGCCAAAGCACAAATGCGCATTTAACGATGACTTGTACAAGAAATTCTCTGTTTTCCATCCCGGTCGGGACAAGTGGGAGGCCATGTGCACAGGTTGTGAGGTGAGAGTAGCTTAATGTCGAGGCCCCACCCCCCACCCCTGGTAAGGTGTCCGGGTTTTCACAAACGGAAATATGGTCACCCTAACACCAGAAGTTGTCATCACATGTTTCCAAACGTCTTTCTGGTTTGTGACGTCAGCGTAAATAGAGCCTACTGGGTTCCAGAACCAGAGCAGACTTGGAAGTCGGTGAATTTATGTATCATTTGTTCATTTGTTTTTCAAAATAAAACCAAAAATAAGACAAAAAAACAAACAAAACTATTTTCTTCATCATTTGTCTCCAAAACCAAAATGAAAAAACAGATAATGATTCCTTTTTTCTGTTTTTTTTTTGTTTTTTTTTCAGTCGATTTTGTGTTTAAATGAAAAATGGAAAAAAATGGATAACGACGTGACTTCCGTGACTGCAATGTCGGACTGATCCAGGTCCGGGACCAGACCGGAATCAGACCGGGACTGAGACCAAGACCAGGCCGGGACCAGACCCGGACCAGACTGGAAGTTCAGAGCCCATGGCAGAGCCGGAACTCGAAGCTGAGGCTTGGACCCCTGCGGAGGCTCGGAGTCAAAGCTCGTTTTTTTTCTCCATTCTTCATTTAAGCACAAAATTGAAAACTGAAAAAACAAATCATTATCCATTTCTTGGTTTTGGAGACAAATAATGAAGAAAACCGTTGTTTGCACATTTTCTTATTTTTGGTTTTATATTGAAAAACAAATGAACGAATGATACAAGGATTCTATTTCTCTCTGTTGCCTCTGATTGGCTTACACCAAACCGTTCACTGCCCATTGGAAAACAGAACATGACGCAGTCCCAAACTAGTGTATAGAATAGAAATACTGTACCATTTGGTAGAAACAACTATTCATGAGGTTCAGCTTCCTGTTGACATGCGACATTTTGAGCACTTAAATTGGTTATCGCTATGGCAACAGAGCTGGTTTTTCAACACTCTGCAACCCATGGATATACGGGCATCATAACACCTAATATAATAAAGTGAAACTACTATAATGAAGCATATATTTCTATAACTAGAAAGATGTTGCCATGGTAACGCTGCACTTACCATGATCTAATGCTGATGAAGAGACTCTACATTTTATTATTAATCAAGCAACATGATATTTTGTGTATGCAGCAGTTAGCAGTACAAGAGCATGCCACAAGCATTCCCGGTGTTTCACTCCAGCTCCTCGGGATAATGAGGGGCAAAATATCAGCACGGCGGATATTTTGAGAATCCCCGGCATTGGTAGCATGCACATAGCAAATCGTGCCAACCGTTTTGTATTCCGGAGTGCTGCAGATCAGGTTGGGACTGACCGTTTTTGAGCCTAATCTGACGAGCTGCTTTCCAGAGGGACGTGGAAGGATGGAGTGCCCCAGGAAACGCAGCTACATACTGTTTACATACTGTCTCCAATCTGACAGTATGGACAATGACGTTAAGAGACAGTGCCCGCTGCTAACACTGGCACCCGAATCACGTCTGTGGGGGTGTGAGGAGTTATGAGACTATCTGAAACCAAACTAACTAGTGCAGGTTTTCCAATACTGATTCATGAAACCAGGACTAAACCAGGACACTGAAATGATCAATGTCAGTCTGTTCAAATTGCGTCCACACAAAACCTTTTCTTTGCTGATTAAATCTATACTAAATAACTTTTCTGGATGGATATGTTATTGTTTAGTCTGGAATGTTCCACAGTATGGCATTATGCTCATCTGTCTCCATGAAGAGCACACGATGTCAAGTTTCAAGTGTGAAGAAGCAAATTAAAGTTCTTTTTAAGTAACAAAAACAGCTGTACTTGAACAAACACAGCATAGATAAGTTTAATGCCATACTGCGGGACATTCCAGACACACCAATAACATCTCCTCCACAACACCCCACCAGAAAAGTGAATATAGTATATTTTTAATTTACAATACCCATGATAGTACTCCAAAGTCAAAAGTTTGGACACACTTTTTCATCAATGTTTCTGCTTTAATTTCATGACTATTTAAATGATAAATTCTCAGTGAAGGCAGTAAAAGACTGAATGAAATACATTTGTGTTACTTGTTGTGGCCAAACTTCCTTGTCAAAGCCTGATCTCGTCAAATTTCAGAAGCTCAGCGGGGCCGGGCCTGGTTAGTACTTGCATGGGAGACTGGCCCGATGAGGTTCATTTGGTCTTCCGATAATTTATGTTTTTAGGTTATTTTTCAGACCAAAGGTTTGTTTTCATACCTGACAGTTTCGACTGCTCACTAGCGCTCTTCCTCAGAGTGGTCACGTGATGTTGCGGTAATGTGTCCGGTCAGCTGATTTATACAGGTCGCTGGATTAAAAAGGCAATCGAAATACGGAAATGTGCCCACTGGACGATAAACCAGGACGAGGAGGCTTTTTTACTCTCACACACCTGGGATACTGTACTGAGGAAATCGGACTGGCGCTGTCATCCTGCCCCCATTGGTAGGAAAACAGCACCAAAACCTGTTTAAATCAGCTGACCAGACATGTCACAGCAACATCATGTGACCACTCTGAGGAAGAGCGCTGTGAGCAATCGAAACTGTCAGATATGAAAACAAAACCTTTGGTCTGAAAAAATAACCTAATAACATAACGTGCATGGGAGAGTGCTGGGGGGCACCAGTGGCAAAAACTGTTGTTGTGTTCTTAGGCAAGACACTTCACTCCAAGACACATTGCCTAATATGAAAGTAGAGTGTGTGTATGTGAGTGAATGAAAATGCACCAAACTGACTTTGGCTACGTTCAGACTGCAGGGCTTAACGCTCAACTTCGATTTTTTTGTGAAATCCGATGTTTTTGCGAGGTCGTTCACATTTCCAATTAAATGTGACTTGTATGTGACTCCAGTGTGAACATTAAACGGCCCAAAAGTGTCGCGCATGTGCACTGGAGACACGACGACGTCATCTGCAGCGAGCGTCTCTGTGTTTACAGAAGTTGTCCAAACATGGACGCAGCATTGAGCACCTGGAGATTTTAAAGTTCCTCTCGTACCGGAGCCAGAACATGAACAACTTACCTGTTTTAAGGAGGAGATTGAGAAGGAGAAGGACGAGGTTTTTGGTCATGGTGTTTTGTGGGACAGTCCACTGAAAGGAACGTGTGGATGTGGAGATGGAGCCAAGAGTGGTGAGTGGTGATGTGCTTCACTTCAGTGACATGGAGTTCATTAACAATTTTTGCCTACTTCAGCACAGAATAGTGACATTTGTGGCTTGTTGATAACGTGTAGGTCGAATGCGCTTTAACCGTTTAGACTGAAGTTACATGTCAAAAGATCAGATATGTATCAGTTTCAGGAGCACATATCCAAGTGTCCTGGGTCACATTGAAAAAATCGGATCTGTGTGGTTCAGACTGTCATTAAAAGATCAGATACAGGTCACATAGAAGCCAAAAAATCGGATTTGGGTCACTTGAGGCTGCAGTCTGAACGGAGCCTTTGAGTGTCTGGAATAGCACTATATAAGACTAATGCATTATTATATTATTACTGTTGCTTGATGAGAGCATAGACATCTATCCCATTCAAAATACAAACAAAGCGTGTATATGATGTTGCGTGTATGTCCTATTACCATCAGCACTATGTATTGCTGGAGCAGTTGTGTATCATTTGAAGGAGCCCAGGTTCAGAAAGACTGTCAGTTTGTGCTTTACACACATTGAGAAGGTTTGTCCAAACTTTTGACTGGTGGTGTGTGTTCTGTGTTTTTCATCAGGGTTAAATAAATTTAATCTACTTCAAATATTTTTGGAATTGAAAAGAGCAACACTATTTGCAGCAATAATGTGACAATACGCACAACTCCTTCCCCCTTCTGCTGACATTAGTCCCAGGTGTCAGTATGAACAGAGGGCACTGTGCTGTATGTGGGTTAGTTCACATTTGATTTGTCTTTTTTCCGTTTTACCTCGGAATTCGGTGAGAGGGAGAGGAGCAGATATAAGTCCTACAGAGACAGACACACACACAGCACACACACGTGACACAGAGCAAGTCCACAGGCAGATCAGAGAAGGTCCAGAGAGGCCAGAGCCAAGCAGGAACAATACAGAGGAGAAAACTGTGCACAAGGACTGGAATTCACAAATATTAGAATTAATGGCTACATAAGTGACCCACACCAAAAGCAAATAGTTTTTTTTTTTTTTTTTTTTTTTACAGTAGATCTTTCATTCATATTCAATGCATTCACTTAAGTCAATGGGGTACCACTTTATAATAACTACACAATAACGAGTCTTAACTACACTAAATCACTTTGTTTTGATACTAAAGAGTGCATAGGGTGTATAAATAGTATTGTGTGCAATTCCTAGTCCTCTTTGGCAATTTTGGAGCAAACTAGGTAAATATAAGTCAAAAACTGTGTGTGCTGCCTCCAGTGCCCACTGCAATTCCAAGTACTACATGACATCACAGAGGACTGCCGCATTGCACACAGGGGTGTCTGATACAATCTGTGTGTCATTTGTTCATTCATTTTTCAATATAAAACCAAAAATAAGAAAACAAAACAAAACAAAAAAACAACTGTTTTCTTCATTATTTGTCTCCAAAACCAAAATGAAAAAAAGGATAACGACTCGTTTCTTCCTTTTTGTGTTTAAATGAATAATGGAAAAAATTGATAATGGTCGTTTCCTGTTTCTGTGACTTAAACTGCGATGTTGGACTGAACCAGGACTAAACCAGGACTAAACCAGGACTAAAACAGGTTTAAAAAAACAGCTCTAAACCAGCTCTAAACCGGTCTCAGTCCTAATCTCAGTCCCGGTCTCAGTCCTGGTCCTGATCTTGGTCTGGTCCCAGTCTCAGTCCTAAATCAGGACTAAACCAGAACTGAACCAGGACTAAACCAGGATTGAACCAGGAGTGTCGGGACTGGCCCAGATGTGCGCCTATGTAGACTGTCGGGTGATCAGGAAACCGGGACCAGATTGGGACCAGACCAGGACTGAGACCAGGACTGAGACCAGGACTGAGACCAGGACTGAAACCGGGACTCAGACCGGGACCAGGCTGGGACTGAGACCAGGGCTGAGATCTGGTTTAGTCCTGGTTTAGACCTGTTCAGTCCTGTTTTAGTCTTGTTTTAGTCCTGGTTCAGTCCGTATGCAGCACAAAAGTCCAGGATCGCAGTTTAAGTCACAAAAATGGGAATCGGCCGTTATCTTTTTTTTTTCTATTATTGATTTAACACAAATTGAGAAATTAAAAAACAAATCTTTATCTATTTTTTCATTTTGATTTTGGAGACAAATAATGAAGTAAACTGTTTTTTTTTGTTTTGTTTTCTTTTGTTTGGTTTTATATTGAAAAACGAATGAATGACATATTACTAAGCCTGAAACCTTCTTAATAAATGATTTGTTCATTATGAAATAGTAATATATGTTTGATTAAAGCTATAAAATCGTTATTATAAAGTGTTACTGACTGAATTTTGCAGTAGCCCATGTGGGACTGCAGAACATATGGGACAGATGGAACCATTTTGTTTTGTTTTTTTCATAAAAAAATACATACATGTAATTATTTGCTACTGGAGAATTCTTAAATTGCCTACAGTTACATACAAATGTCGTGAATGATTCCAATTTGAACTCTTCTGTAGATTTTTTAAAATTACATTATCTTTTTTTTTCTTTTTTCTTTTGAATGAATGCGTTCGAAGTTGATCAAATTAAATGTGATTAAAAAAAACGATAAACCCAATGACATTGTTGAATACAGTAGGTATGTCATGTGACCTTCATTTGTACGACTAACCATACATTTGTGACGAAATATTAAAGCTCATAGAAAGAAGAAACATCCACAGTAGGGAAGAGAGGAGGTTTGGAGATGGTGCATTCAGGGGCCATGGGAAAAGCCAGGAGAGCAGGAGATTATCGTAGTTGTAACTCACAGAGACTGATTGCTGATGACGGAGCACCTGCGCGAGTGTGGTTCACAGTTTTGCTTTACAAAACTGTCCATGCAAAAAGTAAAACAAAAGACTGTGAGACAACATGAAAATTCAAACAGCAGCAACTCAAGAGAGACAACAAGAAGAAGCTACGTCCAGTGTTTCAATACAAATGTCTGTGGCACAGGATTCGACAACTTATACAGGCTACAGTGAAAAAATGTCCACATGAACTCAGACTTAAGAAATGAAATGATCTAAATTTGAGTAGTAGTTTTTTTGTTATTATTATTATATTTATTATTTTTTACAGACTTCGACAACAACAACAATGCCTGTTTGTGCTCATAATGAATCCCCACCGCGCAACCTTTTAGTGAAAAAACAGGCTAAAAAAAAAGCATGTTTTTATTATTATTTTTGGATGTTTTGACTGCTCTGAAAAGTTGACTCACATTTGACCTGTAATGGTACACAAATATCACAGTTTGAAACGTACCTCGGTTTTGAGGTTCGGTTCATTTTTGGTACAGTGCAAAACCATTTGCTTGTTGTTTATTTGTTTGTTTAAACCAACAATTTGTTTGAACATTATACAAACAAGAAAATAAAATAAATGCAAAGTGAGGCTTGGTAATACTAATAAGTTAAATAAAATATTCTCAAATAAGCAACAAATGTATGAAATACAATTTTATAATGATGAAATAATGGGGGAGAGAGATATCGTGCCGGCAAAAGGAGAAAGTGAGGACCGGAGCACGATGACCGTAGTTTTGTGAGGATTCATGTGGTTTGGAGGGAACTCTACAAACTATAAAGCGCTGCGGGAAACTGCCCTAATCACAGACGAGTTCCCTTGAGAATATTAAAGAGTTGAGCGTCTGTGTAGCTGCACATGTAGTGGTTGAATGTAAATACACACAAATTGCACAAATTCGTACACAGCCCTGCACCGAACCAAACACCCTGTACTGAAATGGTTCGGCACGAATACATGAACCATTACACCCCTAATAGTAATAAACATCTATCTTCATGGAGAACATTCCAAAGTACTTTGTATTTCTGTGGAATCATGCAGATGGCAGGTTAGGAAACTGGTTTTTGAGGTCAGTTTTGCACATTTTTAACCATCTAAGAAGTGCATGTGCAGTTCAATGGACACACCTTCCAGAGGAAATACTTTGAAGCAACGGACCATTTCATCCCCAAGCACAGTGACAGAGCAGAGTGAGGCTTAGAAGAGGCTTTCCTGTTCTCAAAATTCACCTGGCTCTCCCTAGAGCACAGGTGTCAAACATAAGGCCCGGGGGCCAGATCCGGCCCTCCAAGACCTTTAATGTGGGTGATTTTCTACTAAAATATTTTAATTATATTTTCTATTAAAATATTGGTAATTTTCTGCGGCGCTGAGCAGAGCAGCGTCTCCAGCGTCTCTGTACGTGGCCCCTCCCACCAGAACAGCACAAATGAAGACTTGTCTCTTTCCAAACGCTCTTAAAGGACGATCGTTTTGACTGTTGACCGTGACACCCTCATCAGAAAAATGTCAAAAATGAGAAAAGTGGAGCTGAGTGCAGGATTTTCCAAGAAAAATAGACTTATTCCTGTTTGCATACAAGTTCATGTTAAAACATTGTGTTGAAATTGAATTTTTCTTCAAGTTTCAGGTTGTTCATAATATTATAATATTATAATAAGAAAGAGTTCATCAATTAAAAAAGATTTCTGTAATAGATTTGCGTTTGTCTGCACAAATATTTGAACTTATTGTTATTTTTGGGGTTTATATGACATGAGTTTTCTGATCCGGCCCCTTTGGGATCAAAGTAAGTTGGATACGGCCCCCGGACCAAAATGAGTTTGACACCCCTGCCCTAGAGGCTGATTTCATGGGCGGGTTTCAAGACAGAGGACACAGAGGACACAGAGGAGGGACACTTTTGTCCTGAGGGCTGTTCCTCACCTGTAACTGTCTTGACCCAGATCTGCTGACCCTACCTCCAGTCCTCCTGTTAATTAGTTTTGGAGTAATATAAAAGTTGTTTGCTTTGTCATACAGTATTTTAAATGTATGGCCATTGTTTTGTTTTAGTATTTTGAACAGGACTACAGGAAGTGTAGCTGTTTATCTTGTGGTAGCTAAAGGGGATCAAAACATATGAACAAATGATAGGCTCATGACTTGATATGTAGTGTGTCCAGATATTTTGCTTTAAAATAAGAAATGTCAGTCTGAACTAATGCAGAGAGTCATTTTTGCAGTGTTAAATTTGGGATGAAGGACTGGGACACTAATACTTGAGTTAATGGGTCATTGTTAGGAATATTTTGGGAATCTCAAGTTTCCAATCACGGTTTAAAAATGTTGCTTCATTCTGTTTTAACATCAGTAATGAAACGCTGGAATTACAAAAGAGCAAAAGCACACAGGGCAAAAAACAACAGTACAGTGACAAAAACAACTCCAATATACACACCTGACTGCATAGTACACACACAGTACAGACGAGAACTATTCAAAAGCTGATACTGTGTGACCCAGATGTGAGCTGAAGACGATCAGGGCAATTAGGAGCCATTTTGAATAGATGATGATTGCTCGGACAAGTGGAGGACTTCATCTAATCACTATATACTCCAAGTACTGAGGGAATGTGAGCTGGGGGGACAAGTATAGCCAGAAGTGGGTAGTACTTAGTTATATTTGCTTAAGTACATTTACTGGAGGAATTTTGGTATATATTTGTACTTTTCCACATAGTTTTCAGACACTGTACTTTTACTAACTACTGCAGAAATGTATCTGACAGGGTTACAGTTTTTTGTTCCTCTCCCCTTTGTGAGTAAGTCTGCAAGAAAAGATCGCCACACACTGCAGGATTTTTTGGTTTTAAAAATGTTTAAACGTGAGACAAAAAGTGCACACGACAGACACAAGGAGAATCTTATGAGACTTAAAACCTCTGATCGCAAAGACTGCAGCGAAATATGTCTGCAGACCACAGGATATAAAATTGTGAGCGCGATTGTGTCAACTGTTTCCTGTCTACAGTAAAACCAGTCACTCTGAGACTCTTAAGTCTTCAAAAGATCAGAACTCTGCACTTGTAGTTTAGATACTGTATTTTTCGGACTATAATTCGCACTTTTTTTCATGGTTTGGGTGTTTCCTGCGAGTTATACTCCGGTGCGACTTATATATTAAAATTTTCAGACTGACAGCCGTGAGAGGGCGCTCTAGGCTTGTGTGTGAGTATCTATTACTCCTGTACCCCTGTCACTTTGCATTCTACTGCACATGCCTCCTGTAGAAATAGCTGTTGTTCTGCTGCAAATAGTGAAATATTCAGCCGAAAACAGTTATCGATCAACAGAGAGAAAGTTTGGAGTGAGCAAGAAACTTGTGATTGACTGGATGAAAGCGGGGATGGAGAACACAGTTTCACGGTAACCAGGCGGGTGTATCATGTAACTTTCCCGAAGTGACTGGATAAATTGACAAAGCCTGAACTTCAATGACAATTGAAGTCATCCTGTCAGGATTCAGAAAGGCCGGAATAATTCTAACTGGAACTGATGCTGAGTCTGACAACAGCGACACAGAAGAGGAAGCGGCGCTCTGTTTACCTCCTGGATCTATGGTTTATCTCCAGAGGTCGTGCGTAAGTGACACCGAGGATGAAGAATTCAATGGATTTAGTGATTTGGAGTGAGATCGTGAGTTTGGTAAACTTATGTTCTGTTGTTTATGCTATAATTATCTGAATAACTGTTATGTTAACATGTTAACGCCTGTTCAGTCTGTTGTTCTCTGTTCTAGTTTTATTACTAGAACTTGCCTGATTGTCTGATTTTATAAATACATTTCCCCATAAAGAGCGAGTCATCTATGTTTTTTATTTCTTCATTGCGCATTTTATGGCTGGTGCAACTTGTATTCCGAAGCGACTTATAGTCCGAAAAATATGGTACAAGTCAAAACTGTGTTATTATTATTTGTGAAATGTGGTGCAAAACTTCAGACACACGATTTTTAAAGCATAAAAGATTGGATATAAAGTCGACAGGAAGTAGAGTCACTATCACTAATCTGCAGCTTCACCTCGATCCATGCGCTGTGTGGATGTAAACAGACGCATGTGAGGAACTACTCTCACCTTTTTACTTCTAAAAAAATGACTCAAACTGGATTAACAGTGATGTTTTGTGGACTGGATGTCATTATTTGCAGAGGACAAATTCTATAGATAATATGGATAAGATGTTGCACTTTAAATTTACAACTTTACAAGAGGTGAGGAATAAAGTCTTCTCATTATTTTCACTATTCCCCAAGTTTGTAATTTGAGTTTCTGTGTCCGTCGCTCTGTCTGACGCTCTGTTTTATTGTCTGTTGTGGTAGGTTTGCTGATGTTTGGTGGTTATGATCAGACAGAGCAGCTCAGAGTCACACTGACACCACACGAGAGGAGCACAGCGACTTCAAAATCGCACAAAGTCGGCTCACGGGGAGACGCAAATTGCAGCTAAAATCAGGCAAATTCTCCTGCGGTGTGTGGTGGCCTTTAGTGTACAAGTACCAAAGGCTTTAGGTTGACGAAATTGAGTGATTTGGACATTTTTGCTTCTTCAGATATGACATTTTTCCTTCCAAATGTACTAAGGTATTAAATAATGACACATAATATCTTTGGATCATAGATTATATTGCCGTTTACGGTATTGAAAATTATATATTTGCCAAAAACAACATATTTGAATGTTTAATCTGCTAATGAAACTACTGCACTTCGCATCAGGTTTGTGAAGTTGTGTTTTGTATATTTATGAAACCATTTAATTACAGATCTGATGTTACAGTCTTTCACTTTCGTTACTCTTACTCGAGTACTAGTTTCCTCACATATTTTGTCCCTCTTACTTTTGTGCTTCAGGAATATTATTTTGAAGTAATGATTTTGTTGATATTTATCTGTTTATCATTTTGTCCCCATCTGATTATAGCCAGGCATATATTTACAGCTGTCAAATTGCGACGTGAAATGAGCAGAGATCCAGTATTGTGAGCTCGCCCGTCAGACTGTGGGAGGGATGCAAAGAGAATATAAGTGTATGCACAGAGGATATTTCTGAATCCGGAGGAGTTACACTATATCTTGACAGACATTTTTTGACAGCGAGAGCCCAGGAACAAAACATGTACAAAGAAGACTATTTTAGACATAACTGAAAGGAACTGTAAGATTTTGGTTTAAAATTCCTTCCTGGAGACTTATCTGAGAGCCCAGATATGAGGTAAACATGTCCAAATCAAATATAGCTTTTACTGATAACAACTGTCATGCTGATTATTTCTTAATTACAAAAAACAAAACAAAACACTGGACCAGATAGTGAGCTGTTTATGTTATCATTTTGGTTCTCAGGACAGCAGAGCCTTACATGACTCTCTCATTTGTGTTGCCAGTTTCAACCCTGAAATCCAGCTGTTTTAAACATAAACTGTCTCTCTCTGATCTGAATGGTCTCTACCTAAACCCCAGTGCCTGCAGTCAGTCATGGATCAGTGCTAGTGCAGCCTCTGCAGCTCAGTGAGGGAATTCTGGAGGTTCTGAGCTTTACATGGGGTCTGTCCATAAACTGAGAATGAGATAATGACGCACTGGCAACACCCAACCCATGTTCAGTTGTAGTTGTAATTGTAATACTTTTTTAACTCACTAACAGAGCAGACTACATACAGTTCCTTTGTAGATATAAAATAGACATATATAATTCTTATTGGAAATGTTATAATAATGCATTATTTTATTTATTTATTTATTTATTTGTCTAATTTAAACATGAGCAAGTTTGAAATAAGGTATCAAGGATCATGTACCGTATTTTCTGCCTTATAGAGGCTCTGGATTATAAGGTGCACTGTCAGAATGGTCTATTTTCAAAGGTTTTGCCATATAAACTGCACTGGACTATAAGGCGAATTAAACGAAACACAACTTTATTTAATGCGTTCACAATAACTCTCAACTTTGTTCAGTTGTAACGTGTAAAAACAACTGTCTGAGATGCTAAATTGTTAGAGTATTCACAATAAGTCATAATTGTTCAAACAGCTGGGCGATTATGCAGCTCGCACTTTCACTTCATAACAGCCTTGAGTTTAAAGTGGGCGTGGTAAGCGTGTCTTTGACATTTTGATATTAGACGTTTGAGTTTGACGTTTGAGATTAAACGTTTCGCAGCTCGTCCAAGCAGCTTGGATGAGCTGCGAAACGTCTTCAACCAAACTAACTTTTGTCCAGTCGAAAAACTGAATTTTCTCCTCGCGTTGGATTCCACCAGGACGACTGAGGGATTCTTCACATTAAAAAGAATCACAGTCTGTATTACTCCTGATGCTCCTGACTACAGGAGCCGTAATGCTGCAAGTGGAGCGGCTTTGTAGTTTACTAAAGTCGTACTAAGACACCCCAATAAATTCATATATAAGATGCTCTGGATTAAAAGGCGCCCAGTCGTTTTTTGATGAAATTAAAGGCTTTTAATTGCACCCTATAGTGCGGAAAATACGGTTCATTCTAATTTGGCCAACATTTTGTTAGATTTCTTTTTCTTTCTCTTTGTATGATAACAATAATAATAATTATACTTCACAAAATTTGTAAAATGCATACACTACTGGTCAAAAGTTTTAGAACACCCTCATTTTTCCAGTTATTTATTGCAATTCAAGTCGTGCAAGTCCAACGAAGAACTTGAAATGGTACAAAAGTATGAACTGAACAGACAGAGGTTAAAAAAAAGGATAAAAGAACAAAACACAAGTCCAAGCTCTGCCAAAACGACCTCAGGAAAAAAGAACAAGATGGTAAATTTTGAAAACCTGGAGTGTCCAGCACAGTGTCCAGACTTCAACCCCATCGAGCTGGTTTGGGATGAACTGGACAGAAGAGTGAAGCAACCTACAAGTGTCACACATTTATGGAAACTTCTGCAACAGACTTGGGACGAACTTTCTGAAGAATATTTGATTTCTATTGTAAAAAGAACAAGCTACGAGTGTGTTCAGCTGTTCTCTCTGCCAAAGGTGGATCAAAACTTTAGAATAGGATTTGGTCAACAGGAAACGGTAAAGAGTAAATAACTGGAAAAAGTGTGGTGTTCTAAAACTTTTGACCGGTAGTGTACGTTAGGACAGGATCATGAAATTTTGGAAAATGATGGTGATGTAACAATTTATCTGTAGAAAAAGATCCAAAGAAAAGTAAATGTGCCTAGTGTATGAGCTTGGGTATGATATCAAAAATGTGACAATATACAGTATCTTTCTTTTTGGTAATTCTGTTCAACGCGACAACACACAAGACAACATAGAATGATTGACAGGGCGGGCGGGGCTACACAATCCCATACGCACACACACACACACACACACACACATACACACACACACGCACGCACACACACACACACACACACACACACACACACACACACACACACACACACATACACACATAAGGATGATATGTGACACAGATCTCATTCTCCTACTTCTCCGTGACCTCTGAGCTTTGAACTTACGCTGCGATGGAGATGTTTGCCGCCGACATGGGGCTGACCTCCTTCACCTCCATGGCCTTCTGCAGAGCCAGCTTCTTATTGGCTGCCTCCTCCTGCTCCTCCTCGTCCTGCAGCCAAGGGGGACACAGATGAGCACTGAGGGTGTGGGGGATGTGTGGGGTGGAGGGGGTGACACGGGCGTACCTTGGTGAGCTCCTGGGCGTTGGCGAGGTTGTCCACAGCGATGGCCAAGAACACATTGAGCAGAGTGTCTGGAGATAGACTCAGGAAAAATGTCTGACTCAACACAAGAGAACCTTTTAGAAAACCAGCTCATGTGATGAGCTGCAGTGGTTTATTTTGTATTTATTTATTCCTTTGATAGGGACAGTGCGTATTAATTAACATCTGTAATTACAGAGAAAAACTGCCAGATTATAGCAAATGTGCTTCTTTCCATCTGTTGTCGCTCAAAAAATGAAATGTCACCTTTTTCCATTTAAATATGTTATGTTAAAATCATTGATATATTTTAAAGGGCGGATATTATGATATTTTCTGATCTACTTTATAATGTTTTGTCCTCCACGGTGGAGTCATGCGTTTGTTGACCACAGAATGAGTCAGGTGATGGTTTATGGGTTTAAAAACTGAGCAGGAGAAATCTGAATTTGGACAGGTTTGTTGTATTACAGGTGAAGCATTTTTGAGAGCTCAGAGAGGAGGACTTCAGGTTAATGGATTAATAAAATTAACGTGAATGAAGCAAGACCAGGAGTCTCCAACCTGTAGCTCAGGAGCTTCCAGTAGCTCTCCACCCCCTTCAGAGAAAGTATGAATTCTATGTATTGTGCTGAATAAGTAAAATTTGATTAATTACCACTGTAAATCTATCATTTTCATGCCTAACTTTGTGCTCTAATAAATGGATAATGGTTTATGTTTTATAGACATCTAAATGTTTCATATACTCAATTTCTTTGCGACTGCTAAAATATGTTACCCAGGCTGGCACCACCTAGTGCCTCCGCTCAATTTAATTTCTCTCCAGTGACTAGGTCAGGAATCAGAATACACCAGACCTGACATGTCAGACTCAGGCCCGGGGGCTAAATTTGGCCCGCAATATAATAATCTTTAGCCAGCAAGATTGTGAAATCTGTATTAGAGCTGCCCTCAGCTACAGATAGACTATAGACACATTATTTCTTTAAAATGTTGTTATTTTATATTCTGCTTGTTCTGAATTCAATATTTAGGCAAAACTATTATTAAACATTTATTTTAATAAGAAAAGGTTTAACATTACATATCTCCAAAGAAGAGAAAACATGCAGATGTTGTTGAAATTTTTTTATAAATATTTAGTTTGGCCCACGACTTAGTCCCAGTTTTTAATTTTGGCCTCTGTGAATTTGAGTTTGACTCTCCTGCACTAGACAGTTTGCAAAAACCCTGGAAGCGCGAATTCGGGCACCAGCCAATCAGTGAAGAGCCAGACATTCTGTGTTGGCAGCGCTTCCCGGAAATCAACAAAGAGAATGTTTGATGAATTTTATCAAGGGGAAAGACGTTATTGTCCTTCTTCCTATGGGATTTGGGAAAAGCTTAATATACCAGTTAGCCCCGTTAGCGGTGCATTACATACATCAAGACCAAATAGCAGCGATTGGTTAAATTTTAAAAAACACCCGCCTACTGTTGAGTGAACGAATTCTGACACGGCAAGGTCAGACGGTTTCTACCAAGTGAAACCAGCTGATGAATCAGGCTAAAAATCAGTAGCTCTCTGGCATTTTCGTTTTGTAAAAGATGCTCACTGGAGGAAAAATGTTGTAGAGCCCTGATCTGGACCCTCCTACTTTTTGTTTAAATGCAGTATCTGGGTCGAGGCACACAGTAAATCATCACTCAGGCTTTTGTCAGTTCAGCCGCTGCCTTATTTGGAGCATGAGTCTCAGCAGTCGATCACATATCCTCTTGAATATCTTGGTATTATCTTCAGAACAAAATCTATATTAAGCATTGTAGTTGTGATGTGGACTGTTATCATAAGTCTTTCTTTCTGTGTGGCCTTGGCTAGCGAGGCAAGCAGCAGTTAACCTCATGCCTCACAGCAAGAGGGTTCGATCAGCAGCACCATGTGGAGTTTGTACGTCCTTCCTGTGTCCGTTTAGATTTCCTTTTGCACTTAAAGTTTTTTTGGTGTGTGGAATATCTTGTTAAAGAAATTCTGATTCTCAGGTGACAAAAAAGTCAAATAAAAATATGTATTCACTTTTTGGTGTTGACAGCTGTGGATCACACCCACAGTCTGCAACCTTCTGAGTGTGTGGGAGTTCAAAATCACTAAGAACTACAAAGTCATCACACAAAAACAAATACTGTGGAGGAGAAAAGAATATTACAGTTTTGTTTCTCAGCTGTGGTGGTACACAGACTGCTTCAGCATGTTTGTATTTACTTGTGTATTTTTTATCTCGGGTTTTACTAGGTCACAGTTTAGATCTATTTTTGGCTTGAGGTTTCTAGTTTAGATGTGGTACAGTTTTATTTTAGATCTGGTTCAAGAAAAAAAAAAAAAAAACACATGTTACGCAAAACTGACTTCTTGAAGCTTTTAATCATGTCATGCTGTTGTTCCCTTATCAAAAAACATACCTGGATTAGTAATTAGCTTTATTCATTCTTGTTTAATGCACTAAACCAAAGTCATCTTCTCTGAAAACTCAAAAATGCTCAGTTTGCATTTTGCCCGTTTAGTTGCATCACAGGTAAAACTCCAGACTTCTCCTATGCAGTTGTGAAGTTCTTAAACCATCACTGGACTCATTCTACACTCAAATTTTGTTCACAAAGAATCCATGCGCTTATTAGTATATGCAGCATTCATGTTTACTTTTGGATTTTTCATTCCTGTTGCTGACAGAAGATGAAGCTCCAACAACTAAATGCCTCACTGGAAGCAAAGTTTAAAAAGCATATTTCCTAAATTCAGACATTATTTTAAGATAGAAAATGTGAACCCAAGGTGACCAGAGTGTGTTTAAAGGGGGATTAACACCACAGGAATGCATACATGTGTTCTTTAAATGTCTCAGTACTGTAAATGGTCTTGTCTTCTAGTTTATAAAGCTGTGTGAGAGGATACAGTTTCCAAAGAGCGTGAGCACGATGAAGTAGACAGAGGAGAACATGCCGCGGCGCACTCCGCCCTGCGACTCGATGCCGTGGTACATGACTGCGTTCCAGTCCTCTCCGGTCAGGATCTGAAGCACAGGAACAAACAGGCAAACAGGTGAGGTCACATGTACTGTGAGGATAGTGCACTGACTGATCCAAACCTAACCATAATAACTATCTGTCTAACCTTAAAGCTGCACTATGTAACATTTGTGATAGCAGTAGTGTTGTTATTGCGTTTGCCTGAAATGTTCTACAGTAAAATAAGTAAAGAACGTACGCAGCAGATCAGAGAGCGCTCATCTGTGTGTGTCTGTAAAGCACATACTGACTGTGGCTCTCCCCAAGGGTGTGTCCTGTCTTCACTTTTATTTCTTCTCTACACAAACTCATGCACTAGCTGGCACTTAATAATAATAATGATAATGCTTTAGTCCTATGTAGCACTTTTCCAGACACTTAAAATTGATTTACAGTTCACTCATACTCAGTGGTAGTAAACCGCCCTGGGGCAGCCTAACAGAAGCATGGCTACCAATCTGTGCCATCGGCCTCTTCGACCATCATCAGTATTCATGCACACAGCAAGTTCATACCACATTACTAACTTTTTTGTCACTTGCACCTCACTGTAGCACCTGGTGTTCCCAGTGGTCTCCTACCCAAGTACTAACCAAACAAATGACAAAATGCTTTTAATGTTTTTCAAGTTTATCTTAACTTTAAACCATGTCACTGATCATCTAATACTGAAGGATTTACCTCATGAGGGAGTGACTTTTGGTGCTCACAAACCGCCAGAGGCAGAGAGGAGCTGTACGTGTCTGAGTAGAGTATTACTGGACTGAACAAAGCACAGGCTAATAGAAGGATTATTCGTAAGAACCAGCCTACTCACTCATTCAGTCCAGCAAAGCTGACATTAAAGTCTTAAGCCACTTTAAACACAACAGACCATCAGACAGGTTTAATACAGAAAAGAAGATGATTTGCTGTTTATTAAGGATCTAATATTAGTTGAAAAATGAAACACTGCTACATTTCCAAACACAGCACATCATCTGCAGATTAACAAGAGACAATTTACCTTTTCATATCAGGGATTAAGGAGCATATAATATCTATAACCACGTCCAACTGCACCAATGGCTGTATTTTGAGCTTTGAGCCTTTTCCCCCTTTAAGGCACTCAAAGCTCTTTACATCAAGGAACTATTCACACACGCATTCATTCACATTCATACATGAGTATTCACAGATCCTGGGGGCGAGGAGAGTTGTCTTGTCCAAGGACACAACATCAGTGTTCATCTCTGAAGGCTGGAACTGCACTGTAATGCAATGCACTGCAATTACAATGGATCTGACAGCTCTACTGTTTATGTCGAGAGAGATTCAAACCGCCCACTGTCGGATCATTGGACAAATGCTCCACCAACAGAGCTACTGTCACCCACCATCAACACCACACACACATCATCTCTATTCCTAAAGCAATTTCACCTCAAACTGAATTTAGATGTTGAAGTTTGGCAGATTTAATTGCAAATGCACATTTAGATACAAACAGACACTTGTGTTTGCAGTGTGTAGCAGTACACAGTGTGTAGCAGTACACAGTGTGTAGCAGTACACAGTGTGTAGCAGTACACAGTGTGTAGCAGTACACAGTGTGTAGCAGTACACAGTGTGTAGCAGTACACAGTGTGTAGCAGTACACTGTGTGTGTATCAGTACACAGTGTGTATCAGTACACAGTGTGTACAGTACACAGTGTGTACAGTACACGGCGTGTAGCAGTACACGGCGTGTAGCAGTACATGGCGTGTAGCAGTACACAGTATGTAGCAGTACACGGTGTGTATCAGTACACAGTGTGTACAGTACACAGTGTGTACAGTACACGGCGTGTAGCAGTACACGGCGTGTAGCAGTACACGGCGTGTAGCAGTACACAGTATGTAGCAGTACACGGCGTGTAGCAGTACACGGCGTGTAGCAGTACACGGCGTGTAGCAGTACAAAGCGTGTAGCAGCAGCAGCATTGTGCACAGCTTGATTCTGCTGAAGTGTGTGGGCCTTACCTGGAACACAGTGAGGATGGCTGCAGGGAACGTGTCAAAGTTTGTAGTGGGTGTCTCATCCTCAAAGTTAAACCTGCAAACAGAGAGAGCTCAGGCATGTGCAGAGGAAGTCAGCTTTGGAACTCATCTGTGACTGAAGAGAAAAAGGGAAAACTCAGATCTGTGTGTAAACATCCACACACTACAGTGAGGACCAGCGCACTGCTAACATCTCTGCGTCTGTACTGTTTGTACCAGAGGAGAACTGTGAGCGACACAAGTTAGGTTCAAAATCCTGATTATTTTGTCAGAACAAATGTAAAAGCATTTTCACTGCAATCCACCTGTCTTATATTGCACTGAAAATACCTTGGTAAAAACTATATTAGAAAGCATTTAACATGTACACGCACAGTAAGTATTTGTCCTCACAAAGATGGCATCCACATCGATGAGTTTTTATTTTGCAATGCCATTATGGAAGAATAACAAGTGTAAGTGCTCAGAGGCACAGAGGCAGTGTTGTTTTACAGGTAAAAGACTGTGGATTCAAACAAGGTTTCCTGCAAGAGGGAGAAAAGTCTCTAAACTCTACTCCCCAGCAGCATCACACGATGAGTCATAAAAAAGAAATACACATGTTTCATGTTTCATGACATGTTTCTGAGTCTGCAGGGGAAACTGTTATAAAAACTGTCACAATCTGATCTAATACATTATAGATTTTAGAAGTGAAACTAAGTGCTATTAAACACAGACATTTGAAAATAAAAATCTGAAGTGTGGATGCATCTTTACACATGAACTCAGGAACACCAGGGACAGTTAAAGGAGACTTATCCATATGATACTGTGAAGCCACATGAGGAGATAGTCCTACAGTATGGACCATATGGGCCAGCTGTGATATACAGAGTGACCTGTCAGCTGACCTGTGCTCAGGATCACTGCTGGATCTCATCTCTATATGATTTACTTTAACCTAGAACCACCCAAATAATCAACTAGAACACCAACCAAGAGCTCACCAACCTGTCCCTCTGGAGAGCACAACAGAACCTGAACCAGAACAGCCACAGCAGTGAAGTAAAGTGCACATGACAGCCTTTCTCATTCTCACATGGTTTGGTGGAATAGTAGGTTACTTATATAAATACCGATCATTGTTTTATATCAGTTAAGTGTCAGTTTGTGGAAAAAAATATGAAAAGAAAAGTAGAAAAAAAAAAAAATACAAGAGGTTACAGTGAGCTCTAAAATGGAATACCTCTACCTATGTCATCAACACAGAAAAATCCTTTCAAAAGGACAGTTTAACAATGATTTCACCAAACAAAGGAGTTGTCAAGTCTAATCATCAACATTGTGTCATTCAGACTGGTTTTGGCCCATGTTAATATTATGGTTGATAGAAAACAGTTATGCTATTACCACTATCTGTGATGAGACAGTATCTGCCACCCATGTCCAACAAGTGGGTAAAATTATAACATTTTTGTTCAATGATGTTAAATATATTTTTGTGACATGAGTATTCTAACCTGCCATATGCACTTGAGTCTGGTTAAAGGCTTCAGCTGCTGCTCTGAGCTCACGTTAACAGCGTTCATGCCCTCAGAGTGAGCTGTGCCCTCCAGGCCTGCGTTGCCATAGAAACCACCATGCTGTGCCCTCCAAGAGAATGACATCTGGGACAGACCTCACGCCATATCCATGGGTTTCAGGGAGATTAAACGTTGCCAATTTTGAGAAAAATGGTAAGAAACCCATAAAAAGGCTAACGAACTTAGACAGCTCCTAGAGGAAGGTTCTGCTAAATAGAATCAAACACATTTTAAAGGTGCACTACGTACCTTTTCTGAGGGAGGACTGCTCGTCCCCATGGAGACATTATTGTTTGGAATGTTCCATGTTATAGAAGTAGTTCCATACTAGTCTGTTAATGGAGACATGCTGGTGAAGTCACCAGGCCAAGTATTTCTAATATCATGAAAAGTACACAAGCATCAAGAGTGAACAAAGACATCAGGAACATCTCCATGAGACACAGACAGACCCTCCACCAGAACCTTCCACAGTGCACCTTTAATGTGACTGCAGAGTGCAGGATGTGTCTGACTCTTCTACACATGACGCGCTAGAAGAAGTGAAGTGAAAATGGGCTCTTGTTTATTGGATCATAACAATAAAAAACATGATTTCTATTTGAATGTTTGCATCCATCATAAATGTAGAAAACATCTATGAAGGAGCAACAACAAACCTGCCGAAACCTGTGTCCTCCATCTTGAAACTGGGGGAGAGGTGAGAGAGTGACAGAGATAAAGATGGATTATGACATGGAGTAAATCATAAACAGCATATAAACAGCATATGCAACGCTCGAGCGCACAAAATACAACTTTATGGAACGGAATGAGACATGTCAGAGGTAAATCAAATCAAAGCTGCACTGCAGAGAGGAACATCTACAGGAGCTGAACTCAATCTATCAATGTTTCTTTAAGATTTATTTTGTCTCAGTACTAATACACTAAGTGCGGAGTAGACTTAATAAAGCATGAACAAAAACTTCATTGACTGATGTTTATGTCAGTATGTTCATCTTTGTGCACATTAACAAACATGGCCAAAAAAGTCTGAAAACTCAAGGACAAATACAAAATGGATTTAAACAACACATTATCAGGAGCCTGTGTTCAATACAAGCATTCATGATCATGTGCAGGAGATTGATTTTCAAACTCCTAAACATGACCCCCCATCAGCAAGTATCAATTAAGAATGATTCAGGTTTAGTTACTACCTAATTAATACCCTAATTCTAGCTTCCAACACGTTCATTAAATAGTAACTATTTGTTCATTATGAGTTAAGTCTTTATTCATGCTTTATTAAGGCTAATTAAGGTGTAGTTAATATAAAGTCATACTATATAGGGTAAAAGCAGCTCATGTACGGCTGTGTACTGTCTGCATCTAATTATAAGGTATTTTTTATCATCCATGAACCAGGAAGTAAGTATACTAGTGGTATAAAAGCACTAATAATTTATAGAGGCCTTCCAATTATGTCAGGTGCAATTTTCTCAGGCCACTTTCTTAAAATACAGAGAAGACGGTGAAAATGCATTCAGTTAAGTGAAATAATCTATGTCTGATTTAAAATTATACTGAAGTCATGATACACGCCAAAAAGCAATATCTCGGTAAATTTAAATTACTTCAATTAAAAACATTTGACTTTATTTGCGTCGATTCAACTTGACAAGTAAAAGTGGAATAAGTGTGTCTTTCTTAATTCAAGCAACAATTGATTTTGTTTCTTTATTTTAAGTGTAAGGAGTTGTTGTTTTTCTTGTCTTAAGTGCAGCAAGATGTATTTTCATATTTAACGACAAAAAAGTCTTGTTCCATTGGTAGATCATTTTAGTTGTGGATTTTTAGTTAGTTTTAATTTTCTTTATTCAAGTCACTTGAATAACGTGGCTAGATTTGAGTTTTGCTGTGTGCTGTTCTGAAGCTTTTCTAACTCCTCTGGATGTTCTTTTTTGCAGTGCTGTGTCAGTCAGAACATGGAGACTTCTCCCATACCATACATGATGACGGGTTAGTGGAAATCAAAAATAGACTGCACATATTCTAATATAACAGCGTCTTTGGTGACTCACTCGTGTACAGGATCTTATTATTTTTATTATTATTATTAAATATAATGAGATGGGACTGGCTTTATAAACCCTGAAGGACTGGAAGAAAACTGTTTAATGTTCACATTTTATATCACATAGGTTTGGAATAGAACAATTTTTTTACCAGCGTCAGACCAAATATTTTTACATATAACGTTCAAAAATACAGAATGACAAAAGAACACATTATAGTAGCTTCAGAATTGTTTTAGAAGCCAAAAGTACATTGATTTAAGATTTGATGATCCTTAAAAGGCTCATATTACACTATTTCTGATCTATGTTATAATGTTGTTTCCTCGTCACAAACAGACCTGGAGTTTCACACACAAACCCTAAAACTGAAAACACTCTGCTCCACCTTGTGATACAGGGAGTGTTCCACTGTCTTTTAAAGGGACAGTCCGGAATTTTGGACATAGATCCTCATTTCCTAGTGGTCCAGAGTGTTGGAGACATGTGGAGACACTTTTTGAAATCTTCCATCCAGTCCTTGTATTTGCAGAGGTCACTGGTGTTAGACTAGTGCATGTCAATGGTCATAGTTCTCCTGCCACTAAATGTTTGATTTTCAAACTCCTAAATGACTCCTAAATGACCCCCCCATCAGCAAGTACCAGTTAAGAATGATTCAGGTTTAGTTACTACTTAATTAATTCCCTAGTTAAACACCTTCATTAAACAGTAACTATTTCTTCATTATGAGTTAAGTCTTTGTTCATGCTTTATTAAGGCTAATTATGATTTAGTTAATATAAAGTCATACTATATAGGGTGAAAGCAGCTCATGTACGGCTGTGTACTGTCTGCATCTAATTATAAAGTATTTTTTATCATCCGTGAACCAGGAAGTAAGTATACTAGTGGTATAAAAGCGCTAATAATTTATATAGACCTTCCAATTATGTCAGGTGCAATTTTCTTAGGCCACTTTCTTAAAATACAAAGAAGACAAGTCAAATAATCTATGTCTGATTTGAAATCATGCTGAAGTCATGATACACTGCAAAAAGCAATATTTCGGTGAGTTAAAATGGTCAATGGTCATAGTTCTCCTGCCACTAAAAACAGTCTTACCCACTCCACAAAACACCTGAAACAAAACTATTATTACACCAGACTGTCCATGTGAACGTCTGTGTTGATAGAATCATTTTAGAAGTAAAACCAACCTTGTATTTAAAGGATTTATGTCCGAGCAGCAGCAGTGAGTTGTTCTTCCTGATAGAAAGTTCGGCAACAGAGGACTGATATATGACAAAATAGTCCCTCATAGTGATGGGCGAACGGAGCCTCGTGAAGCACTGACACCTCAGTCGCGTGGGCGATATCTCGATATTTTAAATATATCGAGATAGATAGATATATGACTTCTGACATATCGTATATATCGATATAATGCTTATATTCAATTTTGATTTTGCCGCTTCGCTTGTTTACCTTCTCTCTCATCGCCCTCGCCTCCCTGATTTTGTTTGCTTGTGTCTCCTTCACTCCTCACTGTCGCCATGAATGCTGAAAGTTGGTGCCAGTGAAAAACTTCAAGCATCATGAACCTTTTCCACCATTTACAGACAAAACCATAAGCAGCACATCCTCATATTCCACCGAGTCACGTCCTTTAGCCCGAAAGAAGCTAAACGAGCTGAGCTGCATGAGAAGTGCTGTTTATGCAAATGAGCCATGCACTTAAGTTTTGTTTCTGTAAAATGTAAACACACGTGCGCAAAACTGTATTAAACACTTTATTATCTCAAACGGACTGATGTGGCTCTAGAGTCGTTATGGTTTATATCTTGTAAGGTTTAGTCATGTAAAATTTATTTATGGAGAAGATTTTAATGAATAATCTGCTGCAGTGTCACTTGTACAATAGTGTTTGGAAATGTTGGGTTTGATCTGCAGTGGATTGTGGGAAACCTCAGAGCTCCTTACTGCTGGAACATGGATCTGTTAAAATAAGGAACATCCTGAGCTTCCTCTGCTAAATGAGCTCATGGTTCAGGTTCTGGTTCTGGATAACAGAGTTAATACAAAGATGAGCTTGAGTTGAGTTGTTTTATTTATGAATGAAAAGAAGGAAATATGTTTTATTTCTTTTATTTTACAGTTACATTATTATTTATGTAATTAGGGTTTTTTGTAATCTTAAATGTTCCTATATGAACTGCCGACCTCTTACACTTTAATAAAAAAAAAGACCTTGTGGAATTAGCAGATTTGTTTCTGCAGTTTTAGTTTTGGGGGGTTATTTTTTCTTGAACATATATGGAGATATATATATCAAGATATAGCAAAATATATCGAGATTTATTTTTTGATCCATATCGCCCAGCCCTAATACACCGTACCTAAGAACAACAATAATAATGATGATTTTAAATAATATGTAAAGAGCAACATAAATATCATGCTGTAAATAAGAAAAGAGATTAAAGTGATCCCAAACCAAAGTGATCCCAAACTATGGATCGCTTTTTTCCACTTGTAGATGCCATCGAAAATGAAACAAATGCCAAAAGTCACCAAAATCACCACTAACGTCACACAATACTCCTCACTACCCAACATTTTTAACAAATATTGGTGCATCTTTTATACTGTAGCAGTTTAGCGCTTGTCAAACCACAGAAGTGCTCTGAACACTCTGAAACACTCTGAACCAATCGCAGAGCGGAACATTCGCTGAGCCAATGAAACGCTTTGATACACTGAAGCGATCGACACGCAGAGTGAAGCAGTAGGGGGAGGGACCGACACTTCCACACTTTGGTCACGTGAGCGGCTGCTGGGAGACGAGTTCCGAGGCAGTGCTTCAGAGTGATTTGTTTCAGAAAGAACGAGACGTGCTCCAGAGCTCCCACTCATTTACCCATCACTAGTCCCTCAACATGCGACGATTCATGTGATGCAAGGTTGGTTTTATTTCAAACATTCTTCTATCGACACAGACATTCCCATGGACAGTCTGGTGTAATAATAGATTTGTTTGGGGTGTTTTGTGGAGTGGGTAAGACTGTTTTTAGAGGCAGGAGAACTTTTACCATTGACATGCACTAGTCTAGCATCAGCGACCTCTGCAAATACAAGGACTGGATGGAATGTTTCAAAAAGTGTCTCTGCACATCTCCAACACTCTGGACCACTAGGAAATGAGGTCCTATATCCAAAGTTCTGGACTGTTCCCTTTAAAACTCCATACACTTTTGCTAGAATCATCTGAATCATTTCAGTCCTTGAACTGCTTATCTCTACTAAAGGTAAAAGTAGCTGTTCACTTGAAAACTACCTCTGACATTACAAGGTGGAATGAAGCATTTTGAGCTTTAGAGATAGACAGACTAATTAACCAAACATGTGTGAATGAAACAAACACAAGTCCAGGTCTGTTTTGGATGAGGTAACAGTGTTCTGACATGGCTTAAAGCTCACAAGAATATGTTTTTTTGTAATGTAGGACCTTTAAAGTGGAAACCACATCCGCACTGAATCATCTTTGGAGTAATACTGTAAAAGCACTTGGCCCTGATGGTTATAAAACATTCTAAATAGAGCAGGGCATGTCAATCGTAACTCTTGCGTTAGAAGAAGTAACATTTATT